AAGGGGTGATGGGAAAGAGACAATATAAGAACACACTCAGCAACAGAAAAACAAATATGACACCACCAGATTCTTGGGATTCTATGACAGCAAGACCTGAACACCCCAATGCAGATGAAACAGAAGGGAATGGCCTTAAAAATACCTTCATGAAATTTGTCAGATATTAGGATTGCTACACCCCTTTGTTTCTTGGGTCCGTTTGATTGGAAAATATTTTCCCAACCCTTTACTCTGAGGTAACGTCTGTCTCTGATGTTGAGATGTGTTTCTTCTATGCAGCAGAAGGATGGGTTCTGTCTTTGTATCCATTCTGTTAGCCTGGTCTATTTATAGGCAAGTTGAGACCATTGACATTGAGGGCTATTGATGACTATTGATTGTTGATTCTTGTTTTGGATTTATTGCTGGTAGTGTTATTGTGTGTGGATTCCCCTCCCCCTTTTTTTTCCTTTGGTGTTTGGTAAAGTGTAATTATCTATTGCCTATGTTTTTATGGGTGTAGTTATCTTTGTTGGGTTGAAGTTTTCCTTCCAGTACTTTCTGTAGGGCTGGATTTGTGGATATGTATTGTTTAAATCTGTTTTTGTCATGGAATACCTTGTTTGCTGGGTACAGTAGTCCAGGCTGGCATCCTTGTTCCCTTAGCATTTATAGGACATCTATTCAGGACCTTCTGGGTTTCAGAGTTTCCATTGAGAAGTCAGGTGTAATTCAGATAGGTCTGCCTTTATATGTTACTTGGCCTTTTTCTGTAGCTGCTCTTAATATTTTCTCTAGGTTTGATGTTTTGATTATTATGTGGTGAGGGGACTTTTTTTCTGGTCCAGCCTATTTCATAGGTATATCCTTCTTTAGATTGGGGAAGTTTTTCGCTATGATTTTGTTGATTATGTTTTCTGTAGCTTTGAGCTGTATTTCTATACCTATTATTCTCAGGTTTGTCCTCTTCTCAGTGTCCCATATTTCCTGTGTATTTTGTGTTAGGAATTTGTTGAATTTGATATTTTCTTTGGTTGGTAACTGTATATCCTCTAATGAGTCTTCAACACCTGAGATTCCCTCTTCCATCTCTTGTATTCTATTGGTTATGCTTGCATCTGTAGTTCCTGATCGTTTACCCAGCTTTTCTATTTCCAGCATTCTCTCAGTTTGTGTTTTCTCTATTGTCTATATTTCAGTTTTCATGTCCTGAACTGTTTGAATGGTTTCCTTCATCTGTTTGATTGTTTTTCTTGGCTTTTCTTGCTTTAAGAAATTTATTGATTTCTTGCATTTTTTGGTTTGTGTATTCTTACATTTCTTTATCCTCCTTGAGGGCCTCTATCATTTTGATGAGGTTGTTTTGAAGGTCATTCTTTTCTGTTTCATCTGCATTGGCGTGCTCAGGTCTTCCTGGTGTAGTGTCCCTAGTCTCTGGTGGGGTCATATTGGTTTTTTCTGTTGTTGAATGTATTTTTATATAGTCATTTTCTCATCCCTTCTTGCAGTGGGTACACATGGGGTCTCTTCCTCTCCTGGTAGGTATGGGTTCAAGCAGTTTCAGTACTCCAATGAATTCACGATGGGTGCAGGTGGGTCTGAGACAGTACAGGCAAGAGGCAGGCCCAGGAAGATCCAAGGAGGAGTATGTAGGGAATTGGGGCCCCAAGAAGAGTCCATACGCACCTCAAGTAGAGGGCAGGGTGGGGGGGGACAAGACTGAGGTGTGGACAGACTCAGGGTGGTCTTTTCTGCCAGGGCATGTTCACTCTAGGTGAGGACCAGACCCAAGAAGATCCAAGGTGGGAGATGTAGGGGGTTGGGGCCCCAAGCAGAGCCCACAGTCACCTCAAGCAGAGGGTGGAGGGCAGAGGTGGGTCCAAGACTGAAGAGTGGACAGGCTCAGGGTGGTCCTATCTGGTGGGGCGGGTCCACTCTAGGCATGGAGCAGGCCCAGGAAGATCCAAGGAGGGGGATGTAGGGAGTTGGTTCCCAAGAAGTGTCCCTATTATTCTTAGGTTTGGCCTTTTCATAGTATTCCAGATTTCATGAATGTTTTATATAAAGAATTTGTTGGATTTAGCATTTTACTTTACTGATGAATCTATTTTCTCTATTATATCTTCAATGCCTGAGATTCTCTCTTTCCTTTCTTGCATTCTGTTGGTTATGCTCACATCCTGTTAATTTACCTAGATTTTTCATTTCCAGAATTCCCTTGGTTTGTGTTGTCTTTATTGCTTCTATTTCAGTCTTCAAGTCTTGGACCTGTTTGATTATTTTTGTTTTGTTGGGTTTCCTGGCTTTCTTTAAGGGACTTATTGATTTCTTTCAATTTTTGTTTGTCTTTTCCTCCATTTCTTTATGGAAAATTTTCATTTCTTTCTTAAGAGTCTCTATTATCTTCATACAGTGATTTTTAAGGTTATTTCTCTCTGCTTCATCTGCGTTGGGATGTTCAGGCCTTGTTGATGCAGGGCCACTAGTTTCTGGTGGTGCCATACTGCTCTTATGTTGTTGAATGTATTCTTACGCTGCCGTCTACCTATCTCTTCCTTCAGTCTGTACAGTTGGGACCCGGGCCTCTGGTTGTTGTTCTTCCTGCAGGTACAATTGGGGACCCTTCCTCCAGATGGAAGTTGGTTCCTGTGGCTCTGGTGCTCATGGGTGCAGTAGTAGGGGATAGTTTGGTGAAGTAGGTGCTGCCGCCTGGCCACTGGGGGTACCTTGGTTGGGGAAGTGTTGGGGCTAGGGCCTAGTCAGCAGGAATCTCCAGCCTGGATTTCAGACACTCACCTGTCCCTCCAGGTGCAGCCAGAGCCAGTGGGTTGAGTGGTCACTGGTGAGGTGGCAGGAGATGTTTGGCAGGAGAGGATGCTGCTTCCTGGTCACTGGGAGTAAAGAGTAACTTCTTATTCCAAAGATGCTGGTGTGTAGAGATGAAGACTCTATGTAAGTCTACACCAACTGAACTTTTCCATGTTCAATTCATGGAAATATGCAGATATCTTCAGCAATGGGGCCTTGCCAACAGTTTTTTTAGAGCTACAGATACACTTGACAATAGCCTGGATGTTTGGGGTTTCCAATGGGACCCCTTGGTCATGAACTCAATTATATATAACCCATTACCAGTACTGGAAGCTTCATTTGAACATGAGAGATGTCTAGTTGGAGCTCTGTCTCCCCTATTATTTGGCAATTTCATTTAGATCACCTAGTATATAATATATATATATATATATATTAGGAATCTTCTGTATTAGGTTTCCATACAACTCCTCTAATGGCTCTGAGTTTTATCTGTCACTATCCCTAGTCCTTCCCTTGCCCCCTCTTTCTTTGTCCTCTCTGTTTGATCCTCCTGTTATATTCCCTGCTCCTGTCCATCCATGACTATTTATTCTATTTCCCTTCCTTAAGGAGATCCATACCACATCCCTGGTCCTTTATTCAATACCTAATATCTGTAGTTATATGGATTGTAGCTTGCTTGTCAATGTCTTAACAGCTAACATTCATATATAAGCAAATCATGCCTTTTGGTCTTTCTTTTGCTGGGTTACCACACTTGGGCTGGGTTTTTTCCAACTCCATCGCTTTACCTGTAAGTATCATGACTTCAAGATCTTGGAGGAGTAGAGGGAGGAGCCCTAATCAGAATATATTGTCTGAAAAATCTATTTTCAAAAAGTAGGAAAAATATAAAATTTTAAAAATGAAGGTTGACTTGTCTCAGTCCTGTGTCCAAAGTACATGGTATCTTCGGCAATAAGGACTTTCCTTAAACTTCTGAAAACAACCAAGGGCAATACAATAACCTATATTTTCTTTAGTCTCTTGGAATGTTCTGACCAACTTGAGAGAAGGTACCTCATGCCCAGTACTGATGGTTTTGCTATACAGTCTGTAGTTTTTGGTAGGAGTATTATCATCCAAATGACAACTTCATTTCAACAACATACCTACATCTATACCTGTATATGTGTATACACAAATACCATGTATTATATATACCTCTATCTAAATATAAAATACTATGATTGCCTATGGCTTTTCAAACATTCTTAGTGTTATTTATTCCTCCTCCTTCCCTATCAACTGTATTACCTCCCCCCTTCCCAGTTAAAACCCCAATTTGCCACATTTTAATTTAATATCAACTGTGTCTTAGCTCTTCCCTCCTTACTGCATACATACACACACACACACACACACACACACACACACACACACACTATGGTATTTCCTTTGCTTTTCTTGTCTCTACAGTTACTCTAAGGTGCGTGCTCACATCTGAGATTCAGAGATAGGAACCACAAATGAACAAATGAGAGAGAGCATGAAACATTTTTCTTTATTGTTCTGGGTTACCTCACTCAATGATATTTTCTAGTTCCACCAATTTACATGTGAAGTTCCTGGTTTCATTTTATCTGTAGCCAAATAGTGTCCCCTGGTGATATATGTACACATTTTCCTTATTCCTTCATCAGTCGAATGAGTACAGAATTTAGGTGTGATGTTGCTTTCTTGGTATTCCTAGTGTGGTTTTACTGATCATTTCTTTTAAATAAGGAAGATGTAGAGACTCATTACTTGTCCGTCCAAGTTCTCAGTAAAATGACTACTGAATGCTTGGCCCTAAGTGATAAAATTATATGAAACTCCTAATTTATGGAAAACTATGGAATAGGATGTAGGAAGAATGTATGCGCTGGAGAATGGGGAGGACAAATGTGAAACAATGTCTTCTGGATATGGCATGACCAATGCACTTATGAATTCACTGCAGCTGTGCTTACTACACTTGACCAATCCACAATATAAACATGATAATCCACATCCCATGTGACAGAAGCATTAGCTGAACTCATTAGGTTACAAGAAAGATAGAATCCAAATGTAAGAGGGAAACACATTGGGTTTGCCCAGAGGATTTGGAGAATTAGGGTGGATATGATCAATGCATACACCTACAAAACTGTCAAGTGGTAAATCACAGATAGGTCAGCTGCTCAGAAAGATAACAAATTGTTTATTGAGAGCTCTTCTATGTCCAATACATGATAGATGTTAAGATGAGAATACCTGTAGCCCCACAACAAAAGGACATAGGAGACAGGAAAATGGTAACACCTGCGCCACTATAGTAGGACGTGCTATTTTCAAAATATGTGTGGCCTCACAGTTGTACAGCACAAAAGAAAAACTTATTTTGAGCAATAACTCATTTCTCCTTGCTGTGTGAAACCCTTGGAATTTGGTCCCATCCATCCATGCTTTGAGTTTACAAGAAAGTTCCCCTATTCCTGAGATCTTGAATTTCCATAAGCCAGAGAATGACTAAAAGTAGGCTCCTGAAAACACTTACAATCCTCAAAACGTTGCTCCATAGTATATTTTAAAGCAAGAAATAATGCTAACCCTGAAAAACAAAAAAGAAAAATGATCTCATCATCAATTAAACAGATTGATCCAAAAATTATCTTTAGTGATTTATCTGCAGGGGCATCAGTTTCACATGTACACAGAGATCAATACAGAAATAGACTACAAGCATAAACACTGAAATGTTATTCATGCTTGCCCTTCTTCAAGGCCCCCTGAGTTTAACTACTTACTTGTGTGAGCATCTTTGGGGTAGTAGGTTGATGATTTACTGGAGTGTGGGCAATGCATTAGTGGTAGACTACCAAGGAATATGACAGTTGTGATGGTTAATTTTACCTGTCACAGCCTCATTAACCATTGACTAGGATAAAATCCTTAACATGTACATTCACTTTGCATCTCTGTATGTCACCCTATGCAGTTGCACAGTTGGTAAGTGTTAAAGATGGGGTATAAACCTAAGCATCCTACAATTCTACATGAGCACACTTAGCAGTCACAACACTGACTTGAGGCATTGTTCAGCATTGCTAAGCAAGTGTGTCTCCTCTAGTCAGCACCAGTGGGAAACACATAGTCACTCTCTTACCATCTTGGAATTGGATTGCATAGATGTCAGTAAAATCCCTGAAGTCTGGGAGTGGGAGCTGGGTTCAGTCTTCCTGATGATGACTTTCCTATATGCATCCCGTACCTGGGGATGGAGACACAACAAAGCAAGGATTGGGCCAGTGAGTAAGTTTGCTGTACAACATGAGGTCTTGAGTTTGGATCTCCAGCACCCACATACCAAACACGAGTATGGTGCTCAGCCCTAAACAGGACACAGATATCATCCAACACACCATCATGGAAAATAAGGTAAGAAAGAAGGTAGAACTGAAGGAGGGGAAGAGTTCCTGTGAAATGCTCTCTTCTGGACATGTCATTACATCACACTCATGAACTCTCAGCAGCTGACAGTGCCTGCACAAGATCAAGCCAGCCAAATTCTAACCTGGATTGGGTAGAAGACTTCTAGAACCCACCCCCTACTAAGGACTGATTGGCAATTAATCATTTTTTAAATTTTCTTCTCTGAGGATATGCTGTAATGATGTTCCCATACCCATGGAAAACTCTAACTGGGCCTAGTAGGGTTTTTCAAGTCATGAAACATGAAGTTTGTTGGAGAACACGTTAAGAGGAAGATGTGGGAAGCTGGGGTTAAGAATGAGAATGGGTGTGAACATATTTCATTGTATGCATGTATGAAACTCTCAAAGATAAAGAAAATTCTGGGAGGCAGCAACATGGTTTCACACACCAGCAATCCCACTTCTGGGTAGGGAGAGACAGAAGGGTGCTGGATGGGCCTGCTGGATAACCAATCTACCTCAATAGATGCTCCAGGCTCAGTAAGAGAATGTGTCTCAAAAGATAACACTGAAGGGTTAGAGAGAAGACTCAGTGGTTAAGAGTATACCGTGTTCCTACCGAGGACCTGAGTTTTGGTCTTAACACCCATGCCAAGAGCCCCACAAACACCCACAACTCCAACTCTAGTTGATCCCAAGCCTTCTTTAGGGCACTACATTCATGTACATAAGTAAGGTGACACATTCTCCTGAAAATGACATCTGCCTTTGAAGACACTGAACTCTTCCCAGATCTTGCAACAAGGTTAATAATAAACCTTGAAATAACCTAAGACTATGTGTTCAACCTTCTGTCCTACCATGTGCTCAACCTGACTAAGTCTAACCTGCATTTAAGACAACAATATAACCAACTTTACTGTGCCTTGGATTGCCTATGGTATCAGTTCTTAAAATCTAAGACAAAGACATAGCTTTAATCTTAAATTATATGCCCTCCCATGTCCCTGACCTAGAATTGTGTGTGTGTTGTGTTGTGTTGATCATTTGCTGATATTAGCAAACAAGTTGAAAGCAATCTAGAGCAAAACTAATATCATATAAATGCTGCAAAAAAACACATAGATACAAGTCGATAAGACCTGCACTTCTGAGTGTTCTCCTGGGTCATTAAGTAACTTCTCCACTTGTAAAACTCTGTCAAAGATTTCTGTAAATAATTCATTGTCCTTTTTCCATGCTCTGTTTTCTGTACTGTTCAGTAAACACAGAGTAATCACAGTAGAGGCACAATAGTAGAGACAGATCCAATATATACCGCATGTAGGCCAAACAGACCACAGACTGAAGACAGACAGGAGGCATGCGGAGAGAAATGGAGAATTCACAATTTGGCTTTCTCTTAGTCAAACTGCTCTGAGAAGAGATCACACACAGGTGAATATCAATTTAAATAAAATACTAGAGGTGAGGGGGACATGATGGAGGAAGACATCAAATGTCAGTCTCTAGCCTCCAGAGAATCAAGAGCAGAGGTATGAATACACACATACAACACACAAAACATACATACACACAAATATATACAACACACACACATGCAACATATACACAAATACACACATACACACAGCATGGCATTCCAGACAGGGAAGTGGATCTGCTTCAGGCTTATGGAGTGGGTGTTTCTATGCAGAAAGGCAGGTGGGAAGTGGCAGCCAATACCTGGTGATTGAGCAGACAGTGAATGAGAAAGATGAAGGCACCCTGCAGGCTGTTGACAATGGTGAACAGGTATGCCATGATGTTTGCTATGGAGCCAATCTGGAAAATGCCCAGCACCCAGGAGCAACCCAAGATGAAGATCTGGGCAATGGCCTTGAAGGTCAGCAACCTGGAAGACAATTGTTTACAAAATGAATAGTTCTGAGAGCTGGTATGGTCTCCACGAAGATTCCTGGCACTGTCTGAAGACAACACCAACTGGCTCAGCACCATGCTGGGGATACAGGCAGAGTGAAATTTGCTGTCTCGAGGTAAATAAATCAAGTTCTATGGGCAATTAAAATACTGTTGTCCAGATATACACATGGATTTAAAGGTGTGTGTGTGTGTGTGTGTGTGTGTGTTAATAGATTTTTGGTATAGCAATGAATGGCTACATGGGCTCATTTTCCAGACACTTAGACCTCATTACGTGAAAGGTAAATCCATGGTAATAAAATACTGAGGTTCCTTCTTTCATTGAGGCAAAATTCACCATTTGAAGAACAAAAACTTCTTTTCAGTGGCTCTGAGTACCCATACATCATGCAATAGCTACTATATAATTCCAAGTCCTTTTTATTATCTTTTTCCTTTTTATTATTTTTAAAATGAAATACACACATTACAAGAAAAGAAACACCATACATGAAAGGCAACTATTTATTCTCTTTTCCTCCTCCCTGAGAAAGACAATAACCAAATATTCATCAAAATAATGAATAAACTAAGTATAGATAAATATAGGTACCATAATGAACACAGCATGTAATAAAATAGAAAAAATATAGGATAATTCACATATGTCATATCTAATTAGTGGGCATGTCATATAATCCACTAATAAGTGTGGGATAAAGAAAATGCGGCATGGCAATTCAATGGGATATTATGCTTCCATGAGAAGGAGTGAGACCCTGATGGCTGACAAACATGGTTAATCCTACAACCTTCATAATAAATAAAAATCCAGACAAATGCTGTGTGTTGCATGGTCAAATTCATTTAGATATCAATATTAGACTAAGAGAGCGAGAGACAGAGAACAAATTGTAGGACCATTTTGTAAAATAATATAATAAGAAGAAGAGGAGGGAAGGAGGAGGAAGAGAAGGAGTGGGTGACCACATGCTGTACTGAGCAATGATCTGGGTCTGGGGTCAGTCAGTGAATGATTGATTCATTCGCTAATTCTCCAGCATTTGTGAGACACTCACCTTCTCTGTACCTCACACTCCCCACATGACTCGGGATCTCACACTGTCTCCCCAGCCAGAGAAAGGTATTTAGGCCAGATTATACGACACACTGAGCAAACCTAGCATCTGAGAATCATGGATTTCAGTCCTGCTGGTCCTAAAGAAGTGTAGTCTCTCTCAAAATAGACAAGCATTTTAGAATATTATGAGGTTTTTGCATGGTGTGTGTGTATGTGTTTCTGTGCGTGCATATGTGTGTGTTGTAGCTGTATGGTGTGAATGTATGCATGTCTGTGTACATATATGTGCATGTGTGTATGTGTGTGGATATATGTTTATTTTTATGCATATATACACATGTGTGCATGTAAATGCATGTGTGTATGTGCATGTTAGAGTGTGGGTATGTACAAGTGTTTATGTGTGTGTGTATGTTGTTCATGCATGTATATGTATACTTGGGTGTGTGAGTGTGCATGTTTGTATTATATGCATGTGTATGTGCATGTTTATATGTGTGCATATGTCCATATGTGTGTTTCATTTGTATGTATGTGTGTGGCATTTTGAAGACAAATGGCCCCCAAGTGGCTATACCTGGTGTCCTTGAGTTTCGAGACGTCTGAGCTGACACTGCAAAGCTTCTGCCTCAGCACCCACAGTGTCCAGGTGAGAAGGATGGAGTTGATCTGTAAGGTCAAACAGAGGGTAGACAGACCAGGTGTAGGTGGACTGACTGTGACCAGCCCATCTCGTGTACAGTTGTGGCCTCTACTAACCCATCCAGGATGCCAGGCTTCCATCCTGGATTTGTCAGGCCTGAATAACCAGGACATGATCCATCACTGACAGCTTCCCAGCTGGTGCCTCTTCTTCCTATTTAGGATGAGCAGCAGAAAGCCGTCATCCCCCCTGACTGACCACACAGGACATCCCACACGTGGTTAGTTGACCTGCTGTTTCCCCGTGCCACATCATCCAAAGCCCAATTCTTATGCAGTGAAACTGGTCCCTCCCTGCCTGCTCCTGAGCTCACAGTGTAACAGTTGTGCACACCTCTCCTGTGACAACAAAATGATCTTACAACAAACTGTCCTTTGTTGTTCCCATGTTGATTTTTTTATTCCTACCTGTCGTTTCCCATCAGTTAAGATTGAAACTGGGGTTGATATCATAGATTATGAAACCGAACAGACAGTTCATTCTCTTCAAAGGTGTTCCCCCAGCCTTCTCAAAGTGGTTTGATGGTTGGTACTAACTGTCAACACCTAGGAGGCAAGCCTCCAGGAACACTTGTAAGGGACTGCCTAAGAGTAGTCTGTGAGTATACATGTGAGAGTTATTTTTACTAGTGGGAATACTCAGCCACTCTGGGTGGCGCCATTCTCTAAGCAGAAGCTTGTGGATGTATGAGAGCGGAGAAATTTAGTTGAGCACAGTGAGCATAAACTCATTGTTCATTGCTCTTGAAGGTGACATGACTAAATGGCCTGACACTTGTGACACACCAAAGTAGTGACTTCCTGTGGTCTTGATTTCTCACATTGATTGGCTGCAACTTGGAACTGTAAGCTAAATAAACACTTTCTCCATTAAATTGCTTTGGTAATGGTATTGGGGGGATTAGAATATAATTATAATCATTTTCTCCCTCCAAACCCTCCTGGCTCTCTTTCAAATTCATAACCTCTTCTTTCATTAATTGTTGTTACATACATATACATATACATATATTTAAATTTACATGTGTATATGTGTGTGTGGGTGTATTCCTAAATGCAACCTGTTCAGTCTGTATAATGTTACTTGTATGTGTGTTTTTAGAGGTGACCATTTGGTATTGGATAACTAATCTGTGTGTTCCTTCCTGGAAATGCAATTCCTGCATTTAAGTTTTAGGGAACATTGTGGATGATTGAGGAAAAAGATCTAGGAGCCAGAGGATCAGTGAGTTTGCTGTGAGATTGTGTCTCTTAATAATGTCAGAAGCCACACCCATAAAGTCTCACCAAGATGACTGCAGAAACATGGGCTAAACAAGAACAGTAGTAATGGACATGTCAAAGTGGACGTAAGAAAGACCACAAGGCTTCAAATATACACAAGGAACTACATACAGCTGAGAAGAGGAGACACCTGCAGTGCATTTTATCATGGCGGCAGAGAGGAAAACTAAGACAGTGGGATTCACTACACCAGGGACACAGTTTTTCCACATTGGCAATGTTGACACCTGGGGTCAGATCATATTGGATGTGGGATGTGCATCTCCCCACTGTGCCCTGCCGTTTACTCAGCAGCATCCTGGGCACTGTGACTAGATTCCAGTGGCATCCTCCCTCCTTTTGTGACAACAGGAAAACATCCCCATACTCTCCCATGAGTTCCCTGAAAGGCAAAACTATCCCAGTGACCAAGAAGACTAGAACACCTATGGCATAGGGGGATTATTATAAATCTTCCAGAAGGAAAAATGCTTTTGAAGATTTCAGAATGGATTACATTCAGGTTTCTCCATTCTGGATAACATCCATGAATCTGGAAGGCTCTGTACCAGCCAGGAGAGAACATTCATCAACAGTCCAACCTCTCTGAACCCTGTGAAAAAATTAATACAATACCAACCTGTCAGGCAAGATGCTCCCACTGGGGCGCTAGCAGCATGAATTTTTTGGAAGTAACTAACTACTTCCTGATTGTATTGGGCTTTCTAATGATGCAGCTGCCTTCAAGTCATCTATGTTCAGGTTTACCCTCACCCATACTCCTACATGTCCCAGTAAGTTCACTAACCTGACAAGCTGGACTCTGGTAGAGTCACTACTTTGGTGTGTCTTAAGTGTTCTATGTGAGGTAAGTAGGCATTTGTCCACATCTTCCAGTAAAGCCAGCTAATCCTGGCTGAAGAGACTGCAGTCATTGTGCTGGATAGTTTTACATCACTTGACACAAGCTAGAGTCATCTGAGAGGAGGGAGCCTCAGTTGAAAAAATGCCACCATAAGATAAGGCTGCAGGCAAGACTGTAGGTCATTTTCTTAGTTATTGATTTATGGGGAGGGCCTAGCCCATTGTGCATGGGACCACCCTGGGGCTGGTAGCCTTAGGTTCTTTAAGAAAGTAGGCTAAAAACACCTGTAAGCAGCATCCTCCATGGCCTCTTCATCTGCTCCTGCCTCCAGGTTCCTGCTCTGTTTGAGTTTCTATCTTCACTGTTTTTGAAGACAGTTATATATGGAAATGTGAGTGAAATAAACCCTTTCCTCCCCAAGGTGATTTTGGTCAACATGTTTCATCCAGCAATGGTAACCCTAACTAAGACAGTCATCTTGAGGACAGCAGAGAAACCATAGGTTCAAGAAGGTATCCTCATCAAATGGATAAATTTAGAGGAAATCCTGAGGGAGGAAAATGATGGTGAACAGAAGTATATCCAAGCCAATTTTGCTTTTAAGAATGTCACTCTGAAAACCACTGCCACTACCAACTGCCAAAAGATGCCCTCCTAGATTCACAACTGATTTTTCTAAGATAAAATAAAACTCAAGATTTACAAGGGAACCATATTCATGGAGCCAGAATATGATAGTCATTAAGGGTTTCTAACCTTCTGACGGTGTGATGTAAGGTTGCCACACACAATGTTATTGGGTTGCGTTCATACCATTCTGAGCACATGCCACCCACAGGCAACAGATGATACACACCTGACAGCTGATACAAACAAATTCTAATTCCATGACATTTTAACAGTAATTCTTAATAATGGGAGTGCTATGGTTCCATATAAGGGAAGAAGACTACCATATAACAAGGATCACAATATTGATGGAATGGTAGTTCAGAACAAAAGTCCTGACAAAGAGAAGAAATCAAGTAAATTTTCTGTATAAGTTTTGGATCTTACTGAAGAATAGGGGTAGGGGGAGATATCAAGATGATGGACAATAAAAGAGGAAGAGCAATAATAAAGGGAGGAGGAAGGAAATGAGAACAAACAGCAAGGCCATAGAATGGATCCTTTCTTAAGTGCTGTTGTGAAAACTTGATCCATCAACATCAGATTTCAAGTCTCCATACCTAAGATGAAAAAGTCTATGCTGCTCACTACAGGAGCACTCCTAAGACACTACAACACACCTGTAGACCGACAATAATTTACAAGGCATCAATACATGCCTGGAGGAACATCCCTAGCAATCCAAGAATGCTACATGATTCAAAACTGAGCTCACAACTAGTTGTAGGGTTGGTTCTCCTTTCCCCACCACACATTTTTGACAGCTTTGCCAAAAATCAGGTGAACAGAGCTTGCTTGGTTCATTCTGGATCCTCTATTGATCTGTTGTATGGAAGTATCTGGCAGCCTTTGTCACCGTGGCTCCGCAGTATAATTTGAATTTATTTCTGTTTTATGTTCACTGGTGTTTTATCTACGTGAATGTCAATGTGAGGGTTCAGAAGCCCTGGAATTGGAGTTACACACAGATGTGACCTGCCATGTGGGTGCTGGGAATTGAACCTTGGTCCTATGGAAGAGCAGTCAGTGCTCTTAACCACTGAGTTATCTTTCCAGCCCCAAATGCAGTATAATTTGAGGTCAGGTATTATGACAACTCCAATTGTGTTCCTTTTCCTGATAACTTATTTGGTTACTTATAGCCTTTTAGAGTTCCATGTAAATTCTTGGGATGTTTTTATAGGCCTGTGAAGTATTTTGATGGAAAATTACTGAATATGTAAGTTACTTTCTGGTAATAAAACCTAGCCATTTCACTATATTAATTCTGCCAGCCCAGAAGAATGGAGGGTCTTTTGGTGACCAAGAACATGCTACAGATGACACAAGGAAAAACTGAACTAGGAGTGACAGCAGAAACACCATCTGATAAGAAGTAGAGGCTGGATAAAAGGCAAATATCAACAAGATCAGCTTTGCCACCGTTGGCTTTGACTGTCAACGTGACACAGGCTACAGTCACCAGAGGAGAATCTCAACTGAGGGGTTCCTGTCAGATTGGCCTGTGGACATGTCTGTGGGGTACTGTCTTGATTGTTAACTGATATTGGAGCACCTATACCAGGGTAGAGAGTACCATTCTAACAGTAGATGGTCCCGGCATGTATAAGAAAGCAAGCTAAGGAGTCCACACCTGGGCCAGCAAACAGCATTGCTTCTCAGGTTTCTGCTTCAAGTTCCTGCTTGCATTCCCACCCTGGTTTCCTTCAGTGATGGACTATGTCCTTGTCTTAGTTAGGGTTTCTATTGCTGCAATGAAACACCATGACGAAGGAGCACATTGGGGAGGAAAGAATTTACTTGGCTTACACTTCCCTATCACTGTTCATCATAGAAGGAAGTCAGGACAGCAACTCAAACAGGGCAGGAACCTGGGGGCAGGAGCTGATGCAGAGGCCATGGAGGGTGCTGCTTACCAGCTTTCTCCCCATGTCTTTCCCAGCCTGTTTTGTTATAGGACCCAGGACTACCAGCCCAAGGAAGACTTTACCCACATTGGGCTGGACCCTCCCCATCAATCACTAATTAAGAAAACGATCTACAGCTGGATCTTATGGAGACATTTTCCAAAGGGAGGCCCCTTCCTTTCAGATGAGTCTAGCTTGTGTCAAGTTCTAATAAAATTAGCCAGTATAGGCCTGTAAATTAAAATAAACCCTTTTCTCCCCTGACATGCTTTTGGCCATGGTATTTTACTGCAGCAACAATAATGGAGCCAGAACAGTATTCAGCATCTGCAAATATCACATCCTTCTTTTCTTCCTTCCTTTTATTGTTTTCCTTTGTATGTGGTGTTTGTCTATGTTGCCAAGTAGCCCTAGCTATTCTAAAACTTCATTTGTTACATAGACCAGGCTGACATCAGGCTGAGAGATATCTTCCTGCTTGAACATGCTAGTGTAGTTAAATTTGTTTTACCTTGTCTTCCATTCAACATCTAGACCTAGAAGAGACGGTAGATCTATTTCTTCCCTAAAACACAAAGCATGAATAAGAAAGATTGGTGTCTCTTCTAGATGTTTCTGTACCTGAGCATGAATGAAAAGTGGCAGAGAAATCACACCCACCTGGTTGAAATCTCAAGAACCGAGAATCATAGAAAAGAGTTTCTAGACTAGCAGGCTTTGCAGTGTGATGACACTTCCAAACTTTGCCTTTCCTGGGTCACCAAAATGTGCTTGAACAAATGTTTTCCTTACCGTGATGATCGTACAGACTGGCCCCAGGAAACTCCAGATGAACCCAGTCTCTGTATTCAGCCAGCAGCTGTAGAGGAAAACACAGGAGGCATGAGCATTTGTCTCACCACACTGGCCTGGCAATTGTGCATTCTGCAGAACACTGTGGGGTGAGGTGCATTTGGAAATGCTGATGGTGGGGTGGGTGCAGACCAGTGTTAAATGGGCCAAGGTGCATTATGGGCAAATACTCTTGAGACCTTTGCCTAGAATGGAGTCCAGGGTGATGATAGGTTCATAACTTTCACAGGACTTTCTTCCTCATTGTATCTGTCCACTAATAACCCGTGTCATTCAAGCCTCGGCTCCAACATTTCCTCCAGTGGGGCCTCATTACTGACCATTTTTGGCTAGGGAATATATTAGGGGTCTTAGAATCTTTCTGCCTCCTCTTTCTCGATGTTCTCTAAGCCTTAGGTGCAGGAGTGTTTTTGCAAATGTATCAGTTGGGACTGGACCCCACAACTCTGCATTTTAATTGGTTATGTTTTCTATAGTGGTTTCTGTCTGTTGCAAGTTGATAAGTTTCCTTGGTGAGGGATGAGGACTACATTTGTCTGTGCACATAAGAAAAATATTTAGAATGTGGTCAGAAATTATGGTGATTTAGTAAAATTAGTTATCCTCCAAGACATGAGACTTCATTAGCTCTAGGGACACTGGCTAGGTTTCTAGTACCAGGCATGATTTCCCTCTTGTCAAACAGGTCCTAAGTCCAGAACAGGTATTAGAGAGCTGTTGGCTATCACCAAGGAATGCATACCACTGTTTCGCCTGTTACCCTCCAGGTTATCATTATTGCAGTTCATAGGCTTCATGTGGAGGATATCCCACAAGGTCTCGATCCTACACAAAGAACTACTACCAACTAAGGAATACTGAGAGTGGGAGACATAGTCTCCAAAGAAGAGGACATCAATTGGTTATCCAATATTAAATGATTAGCACTGAAAACATACATACAAGTAGCATTATACAGACTGAGCACGTTTTATTTATGCATTTAGGAAAATAGTAAAACTAGTCCAACTAAATATTCTCTTCCTGGCAAATTAGATTCAGACAGTTGTCTTCTATGTAATGAACAATTTGATGGCCCTGATACCAACAAAACTAGAGGGACCTACTCCTCCCTGGGGCACAACAAGAGCTGAGCATTGTCAGAGTATTGTAAAATGCTATTAAACCAGCATTTAATGTTCATAATAAGCCCAACTGCAATGGCTCATTTAAATATTTTCTTTAAATAAGTTAAAATTCTTGTATCCATGGTTAGTTGACTATTTGACAGATATTACACCCTTTCTTGGCACTCCAGCTGCCTTAAGAAAAGGACGACCAGCCAACCATCTGCCCTCATGATAACCCAGCTGCCTTGAGTACACCGCAAGGCCCTACCTCTCCCTGAGGATCTATAGGCAGCTAATAGTTTCTGAGGGAAAGTGACAGACACATCTTCTGCAGTGGAGCAGCTTCTGGTAAGTTACCCACACTGTTGTAAATAGTCCCTCACCCATACTCTCATAACTAAGTCGCAATTAAATTCATTAGGTCACCCCACCCCAAAAAATGACTTGAATGTAGAAGTGGACTCATTGAGAAGTTGGAGATCAGGAAGGTCAGTCGGAACCTTACACCTGGGAGCTGGCAAAATTATGGGCAGTTTTCTTAACAGTGTGTGACAACATTGTGTGGGGACCCTATGATGTACTGACTGGCGTTATCTTTAACACACAGAAGGCATCATGAATTTTAAAGCTACCCATCAACGGATGGTACAACTGTCACTTTCAATCTAAGTTGAAATATTTCATGTACCAGCATCTTGGTTAGTTCTCAGCCCCAGAGGCAGAAACTGCTTCAGACATTTTGAGTGGTAAGGGAGGCGGAGTAGCTTCTAGATCACCCATGTGTGTCATATGTGCCCCATCTCTAGGCAATGGTGGGGCTAAAGAATTGGGGTATGGAGTCTAGCCACAGATCACCCATATATACAGATGACTGGTAGTTTCCTCTTTCTCTTCCTTCTCAAATGTCTATACTCTATGGACAATCAATACTATAAACAGGACTTCTATGGCAAGCAATTTTGGGAACTGTAGTTTGTGAATATCCTCTCTAGTATAGAGGGTCAGGCAAACATTGGGGGTGGGGTGAGTATTCAGGGATGCTATTAGATTGTTCAGAGTGCCCTGGATAATATTCAGATTATTTCCCCATGGTTCCTGCCTCCAGGAGTTTCTCACCTGACTTCTCTGCCATGATAGATTGTGCCCCTTCAAAGTACATTTAAAATAAAATATTCATCCATTAGTTTTATTATTACTTCAGGTATTTTTGTCATGGCAACAGTCAAGGTGGATGGTGCTGTCTTCACAAAGCCTATAAGCAAGATCTTCATAAAAAATATGACACTCACAGATTATGTGTCCCGTAGCCTTGTGGCTGTACACTGGCAGAGATCACAACCACCAGGACTGGGAGCCCATAGCCAAAGGCACAGAGGTGAAGCATCTTGATGTTTCGAGAGCTGAAATAATTCACCACCTTCAGGTTTCTCACTGTCAGGAAGAGCATCACAGCCTCCACCAGCATCCAAAAGAAGCAGGCAAGGAAAAGATACTGTAGGAATCCCGCGATGATGGCACAGGCTGTCTACAGGGGAGAAGTCTGCATGTCAGGATCCCACAAAACAGGCAGAAGGTTGAGAGACAAGACCAAGTAAAGGACCAGGCAATGATGGTGCACGCCTTTAATCCCAGCACTCGGAAGGTAGCCATGGCAACTAACAGAGGAAAACCTATGGTAATGGTGATGGAGCTAATCAAAGGGGTGGAGAGGAAGGCCACCTGGGACTACAGGTGCTGCTTCCTCCAGGTTTTCCTCAAATAAAAAGTAATCCTAAGAGGAGTTAGGGCACATAAGCAATGGAAGATAAAGGGAAGAAGGGACTATAATGCAGCTTCCAGGAGGACATCATCTGTGATGGGTTGGAACGCCATAGTAATCCAGCTGTTAGAGGGTGGAACAGACTCCTGTAAGTGACTCCTCACCTGTGCTCTGCAAGCAAATCCACCACACACATTTGTTCACCAACCAGACTTGTGTGGAATCATTTCTTTAGTCTGTCATCCATCAGTAAATATTTCTGCAATCCATGCACCATGGGTGATGCATGGATTCCCCCCCCCCAGTCCTCAGCACCCTTGTACAAGCCAGGCATGGAAATGCACACCTGTAGTGCCCCAGTAGGGACCAGAGACAGGGTTTGACAGGGGATCACTACCAGCCAACCTAGCCTACTTGGTGAGTTCCAGACCAATGGGAGATCCTGTCTAAAAAATGAAAGGTCAGGTCATTGAGATGGCTGAGGTGATCAATGCACTTGCTCCCAAGTTTGGTTACATGGAAGTAGAGAACTAACTCCTACGAGTTGTCCTATGTATTCCATGGCATGTGCACACATGCAAATGTGTGCACACATTCAAACACACACACACACAATATATATATATATGAATGTATGTATGCATGCATTCATATGTATGTATATAATGCATAATGTTTTGAACTACAGGTAATGAGATAGTTCTGTTTCTAAAGTGCTTGATACAGGAGTTGTGAGACTGAACAGTGGCTTAGTGGCTCACCTGCTCTCCAGTCCTAGAAGGAAGCCTACTGGTGAGACTATTCATATGGTCCAGCTCTGCACTGGTTGAGAGATTTCACCTCAATCAGAAATGTTGAAGAGTAGGTGGGGGTGAGTCCTTACAACATGTCTCCACATGCACACGCACCCCGCACACTTGTGTTCACACAAATGAAAACATGCATACAAACTCATGAAAACCACACACAAGAAAAAAGAGAAAAATAGGGGTGACCAAAATGATTCATAACATAATCAAGGAGCTGATTTTAAAATAACACCTGTCACAAGAGGTCAGCCCAGTGAGAAGCTGACTATGCAGGTTTCTTGTCAATCATCTGGATAAGACTTCCCTGTAGGCAAATGTGTGGGGCATTGAGATGGGAGGGTCCAGCTGACTGTGGGCAATACCCCCTGCGATGGCGGTCCTGGGTCACATAAGAAAGCAGATGGGATAAGTCAGGAAGAACAAGCCAGCAAGCAGCACTCCCCCATGGCTTCTACTCCCCTTGGCCTCCCTCAGCAGTGAACTGTGACATCAAAGTATAGGCGGGAATAAACCCTTTCTTCACACTGATTTTGGTCATTGTGTTTGTCATAGCAGCAGAAAGAAAGCTAGGGTACTGGGAGAGGACACCACGAAAGGCCCTAGGGAAGGAAGTAGATGGCGATGATTGGAGGAACAGGAGCAGATGGCACAGCTGGGTTGGGTCACAGTCCAGGGGTCACTAACCTGGTTGTCCGTCTTGTCTACACCCACGAGGAAGAGGAACTTGGCCAAGAAGAGACACACACAGAGGTGCAGGTGCATGTAGGTGTTCTGGTTACGAACAGCACGACATAGCAGGAAGGTGGCTATGGCCAAGGCAAGGCACACCAGGGAGATGACTGTTCCCACATGGCTGATGATGTACAAGGAGAATTCCATCTGTCAGGAAGGAGAACCATCGTTGGCCTCACAGTAGAACCAAAAGCCATCCTCAGCCCCATAAAGAAAGGAGAGAGCACCTTACCCACACCTGAGCTGGGAGGAGAGTCCCTGGGCTTCTGCCTGCTGGACTCGGAATGATATGAATGCTATCCAGGACACTCTGAGCAATCCAATAGCATCCCTGAGTACTCAGCCTCTAGCTGTCACCCAAACGCCACAGGCTCCAAACTCCACAGATGTTTGGGCTCCAAATGGGGTTGGCAGCCCAAGACTAGCTGGCTCTGCCCCAGATGGCTCCATCTCACTTCCTGCCACTTGATTCTTCCTTAAGTGTCCTGTATCCACTTTACAGACAGGTGGCACCCTCTCACTGTGGGTGTGGACTTTCCTTGAACCCCTCCTTTTGGCTGCTATAACACCATCTTGGCTACCTTGACACCTGCTCAGGCTTCTATTGTTGCTGTGACTGCCACACACTCTCAGCTCACAACTACTGATGAGTAGCTGCAGCTGTTCTCAGCCAAACTGTGCACTGCCTGTGTTCCCTGCCCAGCCATGCTAGGCAGGGACAGCAAGCCTCACACTTCACTGTCATTGAGAGCAGACATGTTGAGACAACTAGAAATTCTTCAAGGAGGGAATAGGAAATATTACAATGTAGGGAATAAAGTCTCTGTATGATTACACAATGGAGGTTTGAAAGTGGAACAATTAAATGAAGGGATAATCAACTTACCCAGGATAGACATCATGGCAATTATAAGCATTATCATTTTGGTAATGCATGTTTTATCCCTAAAAATATTGTTTGATATTGGTGCCAAATACAAAAAATGACTGATAAAATACAATCTTAGAAATTCATAGTAATAAAACTAAGAAAAATATTCACACATGGACAGAGGAGTTTAGAGCAGAAGCTACTGCAACATCATATTACGAAACTGAAGAGTGGCCCAACGTTATTAGAAAACCAACCTTAATTTATCCAGCTAACATTCAAGAATGACCACCAAGTGATAGGCACCCTAAGGTTATTAAGAAGTTAACTGAGATTCTATAGGCATGATAGATTTAAAGAGATTTAAGGACGCAAGTTTCATATGGTATTCATTCAGCTTTCTTGAAGTAGATGTTAAATTTGTATGCCACTCTGAGCAGAATTATTCCACAAGGCTGGAAAGATTTAGTTACAACAGTGTTGGAAGCTGGACCTCAGTTATAGTGAAAAACATGGTGGAAAGATGTGGAGGGTCCAAAATAAAAACAGCATAATAGAAGCCATCTTAATATTCATACTGTATTCTTAGAGACTAACACTTAGTTAAGTTTCTATGTCTCTGTGTCTGCTTATCTTCCTGTACAGCACATTTTCAAGGCCTGCAGTCCAGGCTCTCCTCCCCTTCTGCCTCCTGGCCTGCAGTCCAGACTCCCCCAGCTGCAGACTTGTGTCCTTGGAACATACCCTGCCAAGGAGAACTTCTGATCCCTGCCCTTCTGCCACCTGCCTTACTTAAGCCCTGTTGGTACTTTCAATAAACGAGACTTGATCAGAATACTGTCTTGTCTCTGTCTCTCACGTCTCTTGTTCCCCATTCTCACTCCCTCCCCTAGGGTCCCCGTTGACTGACCCTGAGGGCTGGAGCAGAAAGACAAAGCTAGGGTCATTCAGCAATGAGGTAGGGCTATGGTTTATAACATTTCCCAAGATCAAATCCTCCTGAGGGCCACTATGTTGACATATTACATTTGATAACCACACTTTGGCCCTATGCCATACAGCAGATTTGAATGCTTTGGATAAGATTGAGAAATCAGGAAAGAGGACTGAGCCGCTTACTAAAATTATACAAGCCCCAAAAGAAGCCTTCATGTTTTTTTTACAAAGATTGACTTCAGCTGTAAATAGAATGATATCAGATGCAGAAGTTACACAAATATTAATTGAATCTTTGGCTTTTGAAAATGCCCATTCAAAATGGGAAAAGGGGGGGTCAGACTTTCAAAGGTAAGATCAGCATCTATAGATGAACAGATTAGAAATACAGATGGTATTGGATCTCAAGCTTTTGATGATGCTTGGATAGGAGAAATGACTTCTAAAAACATTTAATGAAAATTAAAATGTTAAATGTTTTAATTGTGGTAAACCAGATCATGGAAATTGAATAATGCATAGCTGCACCATTCTTGGGTCAAAGAAGAAATAAAAAAAGAAATTAAAGACTTCCTAGAATTCAATGAAAGTGAAGGCACAACAAGCCCAAACTTATGGAACACTTTGAAAGCAGTGCTAAGAGGAAAGTTCATAGCACTAAGTACCCACATGAAGAAACTGGAGAATAGTCACACTAGAAATTAACAACACACCTGAAAGCTCTAGAACAAAAGGAAGCAAACTCACCGAAAAGAAGTGGTTGCCATCAAATAATCAAATTGGGGGCTGAAATAAAAAAAGATAGAAACAAAGCAAACAATACAAAAGATCCATGAAACAAAGAGTTGATTCCTCAAGAAAATCAACAAGACAGACAAACCTTTATCCAAACTAAGGCAGAGAAAGAATATCCAAATTTATAAAACCAAAAATGAAAGGGGGGCATATCAACAGACACTAAGAAAATCCAGAGAATCATCAGGTCTTTGAAAACCTGTCTCCCACGGAGGAGGGCATTGCCAGCCCACAATCCCACTACCAGAGAGTCTGGGGTGCAGGGAGGACCCTAAGAGAGATATGCATGATAACCCAAGAAGAGTTATGGGATGTGATCTCCTAATTAGATTGGGGAAGGGGAGAAGGATAGGGCAGAAGGAGATGGGAGAAAGAGAGGGAGAGAAGAGGAGGAGAGAGGACTACACGGGAGAGCAGGAAGGTTGAGCCAGTGTAATAATAGAGGAGAAACGGATGAGAGATACCATAAAAGAGGGAGCCACTATAAGTTAGAGGAGAGATCTGGCACTAGTGAAATCTTCACAGATCTACAGGAATAGCACCAACTGACATTAAGGCTACCTTAAATGCCCTCCCATGATGGTGAGAATGATGACTGCCCTATGTGCCTTCCTAGAACTCTCATCCAGTGGCTGATGGAGACGGAGGCAGACACTCACAACTGTGAACCGAATTGAACCCCAGAATCCACTTGCAATGAGGAGTGATTACCAAGGGAATTGGGATTGGGCTGGTGAGGCCCACAGGGGCAGCTGACCTAAACAAGAAGCATCACATGGACCCCAGACTGATGATTGGAAGGCCAGCATGGGACTTATCCAGACACCCTCCCACTGAACCTGGATGACAGAGAGGAGGCCTTAGCAATCTGTGGGACCTTGGAGAGTGGAGCAATATTTATTCCTGGCATACAGAGGGACTCTGGGAGCCCATGCCACATGGAGGGATGCTCTCTCAGCCTGGACACATGGGGGAGGACCTAGGCCATTCCCGGGATGATGTCATGGACTCTGGAAATCCCTCATGGAGGCCCTTGCCCTCCCTGGGGAGTGAAGGGGGGATGGAGTGGGGGTGAAGGGCTGGGAGGATTGGGGGGGTGGGGGAGGAGGGGATGGAGAGAGAACTGAAAGTGACATGTAAAAAGTTAAAAAAATATGGGAAAAAAGATTGTTAGGCAACAGAAGGTGTAAGGGGGAGCTGATGAATTCTGTTCTAAATACAGCCATTAAAGATGTCTGGAATGTAATTTCTGATAATTCATCAAAAAAAGAGAAAAAGAAAAGAAAACCTGTCTCCACAAAATGGGAAAACAACTGGACAACTTTCTGGATAGGTACTACTATCTTAGCGCCCCATACTCTTGCCTACAGGTCCTGCACCTAAAGCTTAGAGAACGTGGAGAAAGAGGAGGCACGAGATTACAAGACCCCTAGTATATTCCCTAGGCAAGAATGGTCATCAATGAGGTCTCACTGGAGGAAATGTTGGAGCCGAGGCTTGAATGACACAGGGTATTAGTGGACAGATACAATGAGGAAGAAAGTCCTGTGAAAGTTATGAACCTATCATCACCCTGGACTCCATTTTAGGCAAAGGTCTCAAGAGTATTTGCCCATAATGCACCTTGGCCCATTTAACACTGGTCTGCACCCACCCTACTATCAGCATTTCCAAATGTACCTCACCCCACAGTGTTCTGCAGAATGCACAATTGCCAGGCCAGTGTGGTGAGACAAATGCTCATGCCTCCCGTGTTTTCCTCTACAGCTGCTGGCTGAATACAGAGACTGGGTTCATCTGGAGTTTCCTGGGGCCAGTCTGTACGATCATCACGGTAAGGAAAACATTTGTTCAAGTACATTTTGGTGACCCAGGAAAGGCAAAGTTAGGAAGTGTCATCACACTGCAAAGCCTGCTAGTCTAGAAACTCTTTCCTATGATTCTCGGTTCTTGAGATTTCAGCCAGGTGGGTATGATTTCTCTGTCACTTTTCAGACTGGTGGCTATCCTATTTGTCATCAGAAATCATTCATCATCCAGTAACTCATGGAAATAGATGCAGAGATCCACAGCCAAGCACTAGGCTGAGCTCTGGGAATTCTGTTGAAGAGAAAGAAGGATTCTACAAGCCAGAGTCAAAGTCATGACAGAGGAACCCACAGAGACAGCTGACCTGAGTACATGATAGCTCACTGACTCTGTACCAATAGCCATGACGCCTGAATGGTACTGACCTTCGCCCTCTGCATGTGTATTACATTTGTGTAGCCTGATCTGTCTTTCAGGCTCCTAGCAGTGGGATCAGGAGCTGTCCCTGGCACTTGAGCTGACTTTTGGGAACTATTTCCCATGCTGGGTTGCCTCACCCAGCCTGATGTGGGGAGGGAGATTGGTCCCGCCTTCACTTGATGTGCCATGCTTTGTTTACTCCCAAGGAAACCCTATCCCTTTCTCAATAGAATGGGTGGGGGTAGAAGGAAGGTGGGAGGGGAAACTGTGGTCACTATGTAAAGTAAATGAAAAAAATTAATTAAAAAAACAGGATAGAGATAAATTTGCCTTCGCAGTGCCTTCATATAATTCCCAGGCTATCAAAAAAATATGTGGAAATTTCTTCCACAAGGAATGTTAAACAGCCCTACCTTGTGTCATTATTTTGTGTAATAGCATTAGGAAGTAATTCATAATCAGTTTGCTCAATCTATATTTTACCATCATATGATAATATGACAATATCTTACAAGCTGATTCAGATGTGGATACCTTAGAGAAAATGTTTGAAGAAGTAAAGAAAAATTTGCCTTGTTGGAGATTACAAATTTCTCTTGAAAAAAATGCAAAGAGGAGATTCTATTAATTACCTAGGGTATGACAGATTTACAAAAATATTCAACCATAGGCAGGTACAAATCAGGAGAGATCAATTATGAACCCTTAAAGATTTTCAAAAATTGTAGGGAGATATTAAGTGGCTACAACCCACAACTGAGTTGACAACTCAAAAACTAAATAGTTTATTTCAAACCTTACAAGCTGTTAAGGACTTAAATAGTCCAAGAAAATTATCAGTTGAGGCTGAGAGAATTGACTTTGGTGGAAAAAAATTACAGGATGCACGTGTGTATCACTTGGATCCAGAGCTTGATTGTATTCTGGTTATTTTACCTTCTACACATTCTCCTACAGGAATTCTGAGAGAAGATAATATCTTAGAATGGATTTTTTACCACAAAAACTGAGTAAAAACTTTAAGACCTATGATGTAGAAAAGGTTTCTAAACTGATTCTGAAAGGAAAATAAGGCTTCATCAATTGGCAGGAATAGACCCAATGGAAATTGTGGTACTTTTTACTGATAATGAAATTTCCTCATTATGGACAGAAAATGAACATTGGCAAAGAGCTTACAGAAATTGGAGGGGAGATTGGCAAAAAAATCCCAGAAGTAAGAGACTTCAGTTTAGAATGAGAACTACTTTGATTCTTCCTCACATTGTACAGAGAACATTAATTTCTGGAGCCCCTACATTCTCTACTGGAGCAGACATATCAAGACAGACAGATTATAAGTCAAGAAATTTAAGTAAAGTGGCTCAAAACCCTTGTGATAGTGCTTTAAAAGTCAGAATTATAATCTATTCTCAGGGTATTGTTAGATTTTTCCAGAACCTCTCAATATACTGATTCTCAATGTATAGAAAGACTTGTTTTACATATTCAAACTGCTGAATTTATTCCAGATGATTCAGAATAAACTTTGATATTTATTCAATTCCAAAAATAATCAGAAATAGATAACATCATTTGTATATGACACATATCAGATCCCATATGGGTTTACAAAGCCCTCTAGCACAGGGTAATGATGAAATTGATTAGCTATTAGTAGGAAATGTACTAGAAGCCTCAGAATTTCATAAGAAACTAATACCAATGGTTTGAAAAAAATATTTTTCCATCACTTGTCAACAAGTCAAGGAAATTATAAGGAAATGTCCTATTTTTTCTTTGTATGACCAAACTCCACTTCCTTAAAAGGGTACTCAAAGAAATGAAATTTGGCAAACGGATTTCTTTCATTTTTTTCAGAGTTTGGAAAATTAAAATATGAATGCCATACCATAGATACATATTCAGGATGTCAATGGGCAACTGCTCTGAGCTCTGAAAATACTTATTCTGTTATTATACATTTATTAGAAGTTTTGGCCATCATGAGGACACCTGTACAAATCAAAACTAACAATGCTCCAGCATCTGTCCCTAGTAAAATGAAACAATTTTTGCATATTACAACATAAAGCATATTACAGGTATATCACACAATTATAGAGGGTAAGCAGTTATAGAAAGATCTAATTATACTCTGAAAGATAAGCTTAATAATCAGGAAGGGCTGTGTGTTTGTATTTTCAACTTTCTGTGATGATGTTAATGGTCATAAGAGAGAGTACTAACTAATTCTAGAAAAAGGCTTCCTGTACATGATTTTGGGTTTGAGTCTCCATCAGATAACTAGGAATTACATTTTTGTACCCTGGATGTACATAACAAGTTATGGTCCTTTCACCTCTTGGAGATCTGCTGCATATGACACTTAAAATGCTTAAGTTTTCTGCAGTGAACTGTGACCATTCCTAACAGCAACCTTTGAAGTTTCCAAAGGGATGATGAGGCCCCACAACAACAATTACCCCTGGATTTTGGTAATGTCACTAAACTGACAAACACCACCCAGAGATCAGCTTTGAACTACAAACTGCTCTGGGCAATTTCAAGCTGGATAGCTGAAATGACACAGCCTCATGCACTATCCCAGACAGAACTTCCGAAAAGCCCTACACTTTCCCATTACACAGAGCATGGCAACAAAAGATACAACTAGCTCTCCCAGGTTCTGATCATTATTTCAATTTTATCAGAGTCCCCTAGAGATGCTACACCACCTCCCCCCAGACAACAGAAAGCAATCTAGAGAACATGACGGCCACATTCCCAAGAGGTAGGTTTTAGGCTATTCAGTAGGTTATGGATATTTGTCATCATTTAGGAGGGTTGGATGCAAGTTTTAATTGGCAATGGTCAGGAAAAAAGCTGAACAAAGGAGATTAGATTCAGGGATCTTATTCTGAAAAGAAAAAGGGTATATAGAAATGATAGCTCAAAAGGATAGATTAATAGATCTATTTTTAAAATAAAAATTCAACTACCAGTCTTAAATATTTTACATTGGTGTGGATTTTTATATATTGATATAAATTTGAGGGTTTTTGTTATACTGTATATGTTTCTACTCTTGTTTAAGGTATTATACCTATGCAGCTCATTTAACAAAGTAATGTAAATTTATAGTCCTTGAAAGTTATTACTACAAACTATTTAGGATAATAAAGAAATGCAGGTTAGTAGTTAGTCACAATCAAACTTGTAGTCATGCTAGCTGTGTTTTCAAAGTCAAACAGAGATACATTTTAGATAGATGGTGCCTCTCCAACACTTCAGAGATCTATAGAATACAGCAGTTAAGATGTTTTAATAATATAAAGCTTTTTTCTGACAATGAGACATATCCACTCCTGGCAGCACCAATTTACTTCAGAGAAGATGATGGGCCTTGAAGAAACTCCATATGGAGTTTGCTTTCTTTGTGGCAAAAGTTAGACACTGGGAAAGAAACTGCCCTTGCCTCAACTGCTGACAGCATATTGTCTGAATTGGACAAGCGGGTCACAAAAGAAAGTAGTAACTGTTGAACTTTGCCAAGACAAGGAGGGATAGACCTTCAAAATTCCTGCTTCACAGAAAAGTCTGTCAGCTGTTCCAGGCCTGTAGGCTGAAGATGACTGCCACTCCATTGCAGAGGAACCTTGGATGTGGGTTTGCATTTTCAACTTTCTGAGATGATGTTAATGGTAATATAGAGTACTAACCAGTTCTAGAAAAAGGCTTTGCTCTTTGGTTCATTGTTTTCACATTTTGCTGGCAAGTTCATGTATTCTGACATTTTGGCTGCTGTTATATTCCTTTAATGATATCAGAACCCAGATTTTTCAGGTTTCCAATGTGGACAGAAATGCAGGGTGCTCCAAAAATCCTCCAGACCATTAGTGCCAAGTTGATAACCACCTCCTTGGTATGAGTGTTTACCGGGTTCTTGGCCTCTCTGGTATGAAGGCAGCCATAGTTAGAATGCAAGGGTCAACTCATGCAAACCAATCTAATACATGATCATTAAACCTTCTAACACATGATCATTCTCCTGCCCAGTCCCTCTTAGAAAACCTGACTAACGCAGGGTTATGACATCTGACTTTAGTGCCATGGCTAATAACCACATTATAAATTCCTCTGTCGTTGGAGTGCAACACACGTCTTTCTCCCCATGTGGCTACCTGCTGCAATGCCCAAGTCCATGGGGAAACACTAGTGATGTTCTATCAATACATCTCCATTAGATTTCAGGCAAGATACTTAAGAAAACATGAACAGACTGCCAATACTCACTGTGAGCTCCCCAGAAGCCATGATGATGGCCAAGTTTGCCATTCGGTTACAGCTGCACTCTGTGTATGTCTCAGATGCTTTCGTGATCTTACAGCCTGAGCGTGTCCATCTCCCGTCCTCCACATTAGGGTTCCAAGAGACACATATGGGCCTCTCATACTTCTGCTTTGGCTGAAAGATCAGAGGTCCCAGTCACCTGAGAACTTCACTGGAGAAGAATCAATGTGACCCAACTCAAGTACCATCTAGGACCAAATGTTCCAGGGAATGGAAAAACTGACCATATTTCAGTTTGTAGTGGTGCTCGATCTGGTGTTAGACAATACTGTAACTGCTACAAGAAAATTCCTTTCAAACCTGGAGAGATAGCTGGACAGATAAAAGTGTTTGCTGTGCATGCATGAGGAACTGGGTTCAAATCCCCAGCATGCACATTAAAAAAAAAAAAGCTTAGAGTGGAATCATAAGCCTATAATCCCAGCTCTGGGAGTCAGAGAGGAGAGTTTCCATGAGGCTTGCTGACCAGACAGCCGGTTGAATCAACAAGCTCTGGGTTCAATGACAGATCTGGTCTCAAAAAGTAAAGTTGAAAGAAGGCTGGAGGAGCAGCTCATGAGTTAATAGCACTTGCTGCTCTTCCAGAGGTGCTGGGTTGAGTTCTCAGTATCCATATGAGGTGGCTCACAACCACTTGTAACTCCAGATCCATGGAATCTGATGCTTCTGGACTCCATGGGCACCTGCACTCACATGCACATACCCATAGACAGACATTCACATAATTATAAATAAATATAAATCTTAAAAAAATAAAATGAGAGCAATAAAGACACCCAACATTTATCTTTGGCTACCACATGTATGCTAAAGAGCACACACATGTGCACAAGCATATACACACATCCATGCATACTTGTACAAATGCATACACACAAGCATAAACACTTGTTGCATCAGCAATTGTGATGCGTCACCACTAAGAAAACTTACAAAATGTTGCACAGGATCTCTCTTAGTAAGAGAATAAGTAAGAATCTATTTCCTTCAACCAAATATGTCATCGTTTGAAAACAAAACAGTGAACTGTTTCTTAAATAGGTGCTATAGCAGTGGTAGTGTCAGGACTCCTTCATAGACAGCCAGGGGTCTCAGGATGACAAACCTGGATGTGCTGGAGGGTGTAGACAACAGTCTTGGAGAAGCCCTCCTTCTTCTCCCCAGTCATGATGCCACCAACAACACGGGAATTCATCTTCAGCTTCCAGGAGGTCTGACCATCTTCAAAGAAGCGCTCATTTAAAACCGAGGCCATGTGTGCAAAGGAGACAAAAGCCACTCCCGGGGTCCCTGTATGTTCCCCAAATAAAACAAGACAGAATTGTTGGTTCTGTGGGTATTATAAATGGCACATTGCGCCGGGCGTTGGTGGCACACGCCTTTAATCCCAGCACTCGGGAGGCAGAGGCAGGCGGATCTCTGTGAGTTCGAGGCCAGGCTGGACCGACAGCCTCCAAAACACAGAAACCCTGACTCATAAAACCAAAAAATAAAAAATAAAAATAAATGGCACATTGCACACAGATACACCATCAACATGTGAGCACAGGCAACCTGTGCACACACAAGCAACACATATGACATCTGCATACACTGACTATCCCTGGTTTATCTAAGGTTGAATACCGGAGAACATCCAGATCAACTGAGGCAGAGCTGGAAGATCAGGGAAAGAGAGGATGTGAGAAAGTAAAGAAACTCTACCCTGCATTCCAGTCTGTTGTTCTTGCTCTCTGAAAGTCAGCAAACATCAACAGGTCTAATAAACCAACCCTCCTGGATATTTTGGTTGCTAAAACAATCTCAAAGTGGGCACTGTAAAGGACACCATTGAGCAATGTAACTTAGGAGCCACAGAATCACATACACAGCCATTGTAAAGACACCTGGGGCTAGAGAAATGTCTTGTCAGAGGAAGGTATTTGTCACCAAGCCTGAAAACCTGAGTTCCATACAGTCCCCCACATAGTGAAGAAGAGAACTGAACTGATTCTCAAAAGTTATCCTTCAACTGTCATTTTTGTGCCTTAGTAGGTGTGCATGCATGTGAATGGTCACAAATGATAGAGAGATAGAGAGAGAGAGAGATGTAAAAGATGCTTAAAAGGTTCTCTCTGTGTCTGTCTTTCTCTGTATAATTCAATATACTCTCTGCTGTGTTAATAAACTCACTATTTTTAAAAACTTGTCAGAGTAGGTATTCAGATAGTCACATTGAATCCATGACCAACAGCAAAGAGAGCATGCACATTTTAGCTTACTTGCATTCTGCACTATTCATCTTGCTTCTCTATTCTTCCACAGTCCACAAACATTGGGCTGGGTCTTCCCACATCAACTAATGTAAGACAGACCTTCCCTCACAGACACAGACATAGGCCATCCTCACATAGTTCCTCACCAACACTTTCCCCAGATGATTCTGGAGGAGAAGAAATGACAGGAGGAGAGGGAGAGATTCCAGCCCACAGAGTCCACCTTGTGCTGCCCATGCATAGGGCCATCTGCTGGATCCTGGGCACTCTACCCAGGGCTGCATCCCTGAAGAAAACCAACTTTCACAGTTGACTCAAACTTTGGGGAACTCACGGACACTTGGCAGACAGTTGGGGAACTACATGGGACCAAACCAGGCCCTCTGCATGTGGGCAACAGTTTTGAAGTCTGATCTGTTCATGGGACCCCTGACAGTGGGACCAAGATCTGTCCCTAGTGCATGAACTCGCTTTTTAAAACCCACTACATATGGTGGGATGACTTGCTCAGCCTTGATGCAGGGATATGGGGGTGGGGGAGGCTTGGCCATGCCTCAGCTGGATATGCCAGGCTTTGTTGACTCCTTGTGGGAGAACTTACTCTTTCTGAGGGGTAGGTGGGAATGGGTTGGGGGAGGTGTGGAGGAGGAGGACAGGAAGGAGGTATGTGGTTGATATGTAACATAAATGAAAAATAAAGAAAGAAAACTGACTCTCCTTCCCCAGCTGCCAACAGTTCCTCCCCTGGGGGTCTCCACCCATACTGGAATGTTTGACAAGGATAAATACATTTTTAACATGTAAAGCCAGGTGTGGTGGTGCACACCTTTGATTGAAGTACTTGGGAGGCAGAGGCAGGAGGATATCTTTGAGTTTGAGGATAGCCTGGTCTACAGAGTGAGTTCCAGGACAGTCTTGGTCCCCCTATTTTCCCGCCTTCTGCTTGAGGTGAGTGTGGATTCTGCTCAGGGCCCCAACTTTCCACATACCCCTGTTTGGATTTCCTGGGCCTGCTCCATGTCTAGAGTGGACAAACCCACCAGAAAGGACCACACCTCAGTCTTGGTCCCCTTCTGCCCCCTGCTCTGTGCTTATGATGAGTATGGGCTCTTCTTGGGGCCCCAACTCCCTACATCCCCTTCCTTGGATATTCCTGGGCCTGCCCCTCACCTAGACTGTCTCAGACTCACCTGCACCCATATTGAGACCCATCAGGATATTGGACCTTCTTGAACCCACCAGAAAAGAACCTTGGACACATACCCACCAAGAGAGGAAGAGACCCCACGAGCTCCCATTGGAAGAAGGGATGGGAAGATGACAATATAAAAACACAGTCAACAACAGAAAAGGCAATATGACCCACCAGAGTCTGGGGACTCTACACCAGCAAGATCTGAGCATCCCAACACAGATGAAGCAGAAGAGAGTGACCTTAAAAACACCTTCATGAAGATGATAGAGGACCTCAAAGAAGATATGAGAAAATCCCTTAAAGAAATGGAAGAAACACTCCTCCACTGCTGGTGGGAGGGCCAACTCGTACACCCACTTTGGAAATCAGTATGGAGATTTCTCAGAAAAATGGGAATAAGCCTACCATAAGACCCAGCAATTCCACTCTTAGGTGTATATCCAAAAGATGCATATTCATACAACAGGGACATCTGTTCCACTATGTTCATAGCAGCATTATTTGTAATATCCAGAACTTGGAAGCAACCTAGATGCCCCTCAACTAAAGAGTGCATAGAGAAAATGTGGTACATTTACACAATGGAGTACTATTCAGTGGAAAAAAACAATGGAATCCTGAAATGTGCAAGCAAATGGATGGCACTAGAAGAAACCATCCTGAGTGAGGTAACCCAGTCACAAAAAGACAAACATGGTATGTACTCTCTCATATATGGGTTTTAGATATAGATCTGGGGAGTGCCAGCCTACAATCCCATAGCCAGAGAGTCTGGGGAACAGAATCTTCATCCAATGGCTGATGGAAGCAGAGGCAGACTCCCACCGCTAAACACTGAACTGAACTCAAGGAACCCAATGACAGAGAGGGAGGACTGATAGGCAAAGGGATTAAGACTGGACTGGTTTCACCCCCAGAAACAGCTGACCTGACAAGGGTTAGCTGTTGAATCCCAGATTTATGGCTGGGAATCCAGCATGGGACTGATCAAGACCTCCTGAATGTGGGTGTCAGTGAGGAGGCCTAGGAAATCTATTGGGCCTTGGGCAGTAGATCAGTATTTATCCCGAGTATACAAATGGACTTTGGGCTCCCATCCAACAATGAGAGATGCACTGTCACCCTGGACTCTTGGGGGAGGGTCTAGGCCCTGCCCTGGATAAAATGACAGACTATGGACACACCCATGGAGAGCCTCACCCTCCCTGGGGAAATGAGGGGATACTGGGGACATTTGTGGGAGGGTGTGGGAGGAGGGGAGGGAAAGGGAGAGGGACCTTGGATTGACATGTGAAGAAACCTTGTTTCTAATTTAAATTTAAATTTAAAAATAAAAATTAAAAAAACAAATGGAAGAAAAAAAGATAAAAAATGCAAGAAATCAAAAAAATCTATTAAAGAACAGAGGGAGAGCCTAGAAAAATCATTCAAACAGATGAAGGAAACAATTCAAACAGTTCAAGACCTGAAAACTGAAATAAAGACAATACAAAAACACAAACTGAAGGGATGCTGGAAATAGAAAAGCTGAGTAAACGATCAGGAACTACAGATGCAAGCATAACCAACAAAATACAAGAGATGGAAGAGAGAATCTCAGGCACTGAAGATAAACTACAGGAAATTGATTCATTGACCAAAGAAAATTTTAAATCCAACAAATCCTTAACAAAAAATATCCGGGAAATATGGGACACCATGAAAACACCAAACCTAAGAATAATAGGTATAGAAGAAGGCAACAACAACAAGCCCAGCTCAAAGGTTCAGAAAACATATCAACAAAATCATAAAAGAAAACTTTTCCCAACCTGAAGAAGGACATGCCTATGAAAGTACAAGAAGCTTACCGAACACCAAATAGACTGGACCAAAAAAAATTTCCCTCAACACACAATAATCAAAACACCAAACATACAGAATAAAGAAACAATATTAACAGCAGTGAAGGAAAAAGGCCAAGCAACATATAAAGGCAAACCTATCACAATTACATCTGACTTCTCCATGGAAATTCTGAAAGTCACAAGGTCCTGGATAGATGTTCTACAAACACTATAAGACCACAGACTCCAGCCCAGAATATCAAATGGACCTAAGGAGCAAGCAGGTGCAGCTATCTGAATATCTAACAAGTTAGACTTCAAACTAAAATTAATCAAAAGAGATGAAGAAGGTCATTTCATATTCATCATAGGAATAACCCATCAAGATTAAGTCTCAATTCTGAACATCTGTCACCAAATACAAAGGCACACACATTTGTAAAAGAAACATTACTAAAACTCAAATCACACATTAAACTCCACACACTTATAGTGGGAGACTTCAACACCCCACTCTTACCACTGGAAAGGACTACGAGATAAAAACTTAACAAAGAAATAAAGGAACTAAGAGAAGCTATGACCCAATTGGGTTAACAGACATCTATACAACATTCCACCAAAACACAAAATAATATACCTTTTTCTCAGTGCCACATGGAAACTTCTCTAAAATCGACCACATATTTGGCAATAAAGCAAACCTCAACAGATACAAAAAAATGGAATAACCCCTGTATCTTATTGGACCACAATGCCTTAAAATTAGAATCAACAACAACACAAATTGCAAAAACCCCATAAACTCTTGGAAGTTGAACAATGCTCAATTGCACCACTGCTGGGTGAAGAAGGAAATCAAAGACTTCCTAGAATTCAATGAAAATGAAGACACAACATACACAAACCTATGGGACACTCTGAAAGCAGTTTTAAGAGGAAAGTTCATAGCACTAAGTGCCCACATGAAGAAACTGGAGAATAGCCACACTAGAGAATTAACAGAACATCTGA